GGATGAGGTGTGGGGGAGCTGCCCGAAAAGAACTTCCTTCTTACGAATCGAAGGAGAATAACATATCGCATATACGTGACAGAGCAGCCTTAAGTAGGAAGATATGATCAATTAAATTTTATTTGCCCTCAGTAGGCACAGTAAATTTTGAAAGAACAGAAATCACCTGGCTTTCTATAACTGGTTTAGGGTCATTTTAATCCCATTTCTTTCCGATGGAGTAAACTTTAATACTGACATATCTTCCATAGAATTTGTTGCCAAAATATTATGTAAGTTATGGTATATTCATTGGGACACCCTAGCTGTTGTATTTAGTCTCTTTTCAGAGGAAACAAGTGACATCAAGTCTTTATACTCAATCACTTTTTGATATTAAGGGTTTATTGGAGTTATGTTTTCATATGGAAGATATATGTTGTTCCTTCAATTGTATAGGATTTATTTCATTTTATTTCACTTTTTATATTAACTTTCTTGTATCCATTATTTATTTAGCGGGGCAAATGATTAATTTGGTTTATTCTATCGATTATATATATATATATATATATATATATATATATATATATATATATATATATATATATATTCAAATAATAGGAAAAACTGTCAGATTTATAATCCAGAGTTCTTTAGCATTTATTTTTATTTAAAAAATTGCTCGATACACAGTAGAGTATAATATTATAAATTATTTTTTTTTAAATGTCTCCACCGCGACACAGAGACATTACTATGTTTCGAAATCAAACTTAAATCTTAAAAATTTAACCATATATATATATATATATATATATATATATATATATATATATATATATATAGTGCATATTTAGCAGCAATTTTTCATTGATGCAGGTTTCATTAAATAATATAAAGTTTTGTCTATTTATTTTAACTAAGTTCCTTTCCTGTATTGGTTGATATATTGAAATGTAATTGTCATCTTTGATAATGGCTTATGTAAGCCGAAAGCTTAGATTGGATTTAAACATGTATCAATATGGTGATTTCCTTTCGTCCTTCAATGATAATGTTATTAAACAAATGAAAGGAACTTATTTAAAATAAATAAACAAATCTTGTCTATATTATTTAATGAAACATATATATATATATATATATATATATATATATATATATATATATATATTTTCACTACAGATTTTATAATGATCGGAATCGGATTAAGACAGAAGAAAGATTATTACCTGTAGAACCTTTCCGACTAGAAAAACGATTTTAATAGCCATGCAAAATTTACTATTATTGAAAGAATAGAAATCTACAGAAAATATAAAGTTAGAAAAAATAATGGATGAACATGAAGACAAATGGATTTTGCGCCTCAAAACATTTTGTCCAGACGAATTTAACAGAAAACTGCGTAGATAGTATTAACATATGACCCCCTAAATCACCTCCACCCCATATTTCTCTCTAACACATAATCTCTGCATAGTTGAATATACTCTACTGTTAATACATAGAGCAGCATATCACCCTTAAAGGCCCCAGGCCGATTCCCTTAGCCCCTCCCACACTAGACAGACATACATGTGATGAGGTGCCCCACATCCATTCACACGAATATATATTTGATTAGGCGCTCAATATATTTAATTATATTTCGTCTACCGTCATGAATATTCTAGAAATCATATTAAAAAAAAATGTGTTATCCGACTGGATTCGAACCTGCGTTACTTTGCCAATTAGAGATGCAAGTTGGAATTCGGCCGGAGAGCGTATATTTTTCTTTAATAAGATTTTTTTGAACATTCAGGCCGGTAGGCGAAAATAAATAAATATACTGTTTAATAAATAAACGGAATGTCTAATCAAATATGGTCATCCACTAAAACCGTTTGCACAATAAAATCCATCGGATTAATAATTAAATGTATACGTATAAATTGTATCAAAATTACATTTATGGAATATATTAGAGAGTGTGTATATATATATATATATATATATATATATATATATCCGTCTTATGAGGGTCAAGCAGTTTAGTTCCTAGGAACCGAGGGCACAGACATCGGCACATTTGATTTGCTTGTGGTGGTGAAGGTTTCGTGCAGGACCATCCACACTTTTTGAAGGGCCGAATATCGAGACCTGGTGTACTATGTGCCACAAAATCACCAAATGACCACCCTCAGGTTTTGAATTCAGAGTTGTCCTTCTAGACAAGTTGCCATCGAAGGCTATAAAAGCCAGTCTGTTCTACTATTTACCCATATATTTTTTTATATATTCTGAACATCAGCGTGCGCATATATATATATATATATATATATATATATATATATATATATATATGTGCGTGCGTGTTTGTAATTGGGTGAATTTAAGTATATTTTCTGTGGTGAATGATTCACTATATTCTCCTAATATAGAAAATATAATAGATATTTTTAATATCTTGTAAATATTAAAATATTAGAAAAACCAGTTTATGCCTGATGACTGGCAATCGAATGAAATTCCGTTTTACTCACCGATGAGGAACAAAAGTATATTTACTGTATATAAATGTGTATTTGGACAGCAATTCCTTCTTTTATACAAGTTTCATTAAAGGCGACTAACAATGTACTGCGATTTAAGCTTTTTATTTAATTTCTCTTGCATTTTGTAAAAGTGTTTTCTTTTCTGGGCATAAAAAATAAAAAAAAAAAAAAACTGTCAAATGTTTTATCTATCCAAGCGCTTTCGGTTATTCTATTAGGTTGGTGCAAAAATATGACGTATTAATGTCGTTTTTTGACGTAAATACGTCAAAAAACAACATTATTACGTCATTATTTTTGCACCAACCTAATATTAGACCTTATCAAGGAATAAAAAAAAAAATTGTAACTGAACACATTTTGGATTTTTAAATGAATATGTTGATTTAAAAAAAAAATATTTTTCAGAATGTGTACATTTTTTCATTTTAACGAAATATAGAGATTTTTCAAATTTTTTACTGACTATGTAGATTTCTTTTTCATTTTAACTGAATATATAGATTTTTAAATTTTTGAACAAGTATATTTCTATATATCGTCTTTAAAGTAATATATTATTCGTAATTACGTGTGTGTCTGTGTGTCTAACTGTAGCAGCAGAATGGCAGTAGTTGCATCAGTATCACAGGTATAAATGGTTTTAAGCCTTTTCTAACCAAATAATTTCGCTCATAATTCCTAGCGTAGTCGTTAGTATGCCCATCTTGTAGCCCATCGGTTATATGATCGATTATGTGATGATAACTTCAAGGACGCGTGTGTTTAAAAATTCTCCCCAACCAGGAACTGAATAATTTTGGTTTTACCAGTGGCGTTTTATTCGTAGTATTATCCATAAATACATTAAAAAATAAATAAATAAATAAAAGTAAAAAAAAAAAAATTAAAAAAAAATTAAAATCAAGATTTGGTAAAAAAGAAACAAATGTAAAAAAAAAAAAAAAAATTAAGAGAAACATTTTTATGCTTTCGAAGAAAAAGGTTAACTCCGAAAATAAATAAATGAAAATAAAAAAAAAACAGGTCTGTACGAGTTTCCTAAGCCGCAGAATTTATTTTTATTATATTAAATAAACGGGCGATTTTTATATGTAGTGCATATATATAGTCTCTCGTTTTTTTTCAAACCGAGGGCAATCAAGAAATTTTTGCACACACACATGATATATATATATATATATATATATATATATATATATATATATATATATATAGACCTCAGAAACTTGGGATCAAATATGGCTCAAAAAACTGACAGTATAACAAAGAACAAATAGGAAATGTTTATCAATTCAATCTTGCATGTTTCTTGGAGCTATAATAAAAATGAAACACGTTAGATTGATAAACGTTTCCTATTTGTTTCTTTCTCTCTCTCTCTCTCTCTCTATATATATATATATATATATATATAAAATGTCTCAGTGTTAACTTGTAGAAAAAGACAATATGTATAAAGGTAAAAGACAATATGAAAACTGTATTATTAACCGACGCGTTTCGTTCAATCTGGACTTTTTCATTTCGTTTTTGCCTTGAAAAGTCGACATTGGACAAAACGCGTCGGCTAATAATATAGTTTTCATATTGTCTTATACCATATATATGTGTGTGTGTGTGTGTGTGTGTATTTCGGCAATAACCTTTCTTTTAAAAGTGTTTCCTGCAATACGACAGGCAAGGAAAATTTAATAATTTGTTTTATTTAGTTTAGCCCAGTATTCTTATAATTTTTTTCCCCGTTTGGTGCGAGTAAGTGGGGCCAAAATACATATTAAACAATCAAACATGAAGAATAATTAACAACACGTAAAACATATAATGCCACCCGCCCGCGAAGATGTGCAAAATTGACATCGCCCACTTCTGGGAAAACTGGGGCAGAATTCACGTACATTGCTTGCCGCTACTTGGAAATCATGTTTGATTTAATTTTTTATGTAAATTCTCTGAAAAAATTTAGTCACAGCTTAAGAGATATGAAAGAAGAAAGGAGATAAATAGTTATAGAAGCCCACACAGATTATTATATATATATATATATATATATATATATATATATATATATATATGTGTGTGTGTGTGTGTGTGTGTGTGTGCAAGTATGCAGAAAAATAGGAAGGAACATGTCAGTTAAATGGGACCCAACACCTTGATTCAACAATTTTAATAATTATATTGTCTGTTTCGGCTCTCTCGTTTTTTGAAACACGAGAACTCTTATGTGAAGGAATCATATTTTTAATATATATATATATATATATATATATATATATATATATAAAACAATAAAAAATGACACCGATCAGGTTAATTTCCACAAGATAACGCTTCCAAGGCAAGCAGTCAATGCAAATAAAGAGCTCCATATAAAGAGATGGAGTAATAATAATTATCAATTAAATAACGTAATTCGCTTCTTAACTTGTGTATGAGTTAACCGTTTTAGGAATATCTTGGCGTACGCTTACGGGCTTACAGCCACACCACGTTGAAACACCGATTCCCGTGCGTTCATTGTAGTGAAGCAACGTTGAGCATGGTCAGTACCAAGATGGGTGACTGCTTGGAAATACCAATAATGGTGTCATGGATAATGGCTCCGTATTGTTAATCGAAGATCCGAGTTTCAATTCCTTTTGGGTTCGTTATTTTCCCTATACCTAGGAAATGGTGTGAATCCACCTCTTCTCCTCCCCCAGCTATGGGTAAATTAGTAAGACTTATCACTAAATTATTAATATCTCCAGAAAAATAAGTTCTTACAACCTACAAATATGGCTTTAAATAACCGGCAAACGAATCAATAAACAAACGTATGTAATCAGAAAACGTTTCTGCTTCAAAGCTTTAAGATCGTGAAGCTTGTTTCATCTACATGTGCTGCTCTAATTTCGTGGCCTTGTGCCTCACTGAACCTGTCTTGTTTGTGTTTATGTAAAACACTTACAGAAATATATACGGTACTCACTCTTTAACTGCCAATAAATATGTTTATCAATTGGCAAAATTGATTAAGTGTATAATGTAAGTTCTGTCTTCATTGGAAAGATTGTTTTTTTTGTTTGTTTGTTTTTTACGGCATATCAACCACAATGGGTTATTTAATGCCGACAACATTTTTAGGATAGATTCGTATGAATAGAATATGTATTCTTTGGTTTAGATTGGTTTGGTTTATTTTGTTTTACGGCATATCAACCTCAATGGGTTATTTAATGCCGATAAGATTTTTAGGATAGATTCGTATGAATAGAATATGTATTCTTTGGTTTAGATTGGTTTGGTTTATTTTGTTTAACGGCATATCAACCTCAATGGGTTATTTAATGCCGATAAGATTTTTAGGATAGATTCGTATGAATAGAATATGTATTCTTTGGTTTAGATTGGTTTGGTTTATTTTGTTTAACGGCATATCAACCTCAATGGGTTATTTAATGCCGACAACATTTTTATTGCTGGTAATGTTTTTTTTCAAAAATCTATTTCTGGTAATATTTTTTTGAAAAAGTATTTCTGGTATTAAAACTTATTTTTACAGTTTCATGGTGTTTTGACCCCAGTTTGGGGGTTAACTATTTGCCCATAGCTGGGATCCTAACAGATGCCACCACCCCAAGAACACCAGCAATTAAGGGGTGGCTCCACGCTCCTCAAAGCCTCCTGATCAGAGACCTTACTGTTGGATGTAGTTTATCGTCATATCCAGGACGACATTAGAAAGATTGAAAGGAATGGAAAAGTGAGAATCTTGAAAAACAACATTCAAAAATCCTGCCTGCTGTCTCTCTTCAAAGATCGAACACTGGCACCTGTCTCATCATCTGATATCTGAACTCGGAGCGCGAGACAAAGTCTTAATTAGATAAGAAAATTCACCCCAAAATGCATACGGAAGAGACTCAGCAGGTGGGAGCCGAACCCAAATGCTAATTAGATGGTTCTGCTTATTAGTGGCTAATTCTTTCCAAACAACAGCTTATTGATTAATCGATGACACGGATCATTGAGGTACATGTGTGTTCGCTCAAAAGTATTTAATTAATTCAAAACATCTTGGGATGCGACTTCTTTTTTTTTTTAATTTATTGAGAAAATAATTTTTAAAAATAGGCCAAGAGTAAAAAAAAAACACAAAAATTTAATTTTTTTTTTAATAGAGAAGGCCATACATACATTACATCATATACATTGGACTCCTGTTGTTTTCAACGCATGAGGGTCAACCAGAACTGTACTTAGAAGCAACATCCAGAATTTGATTAAAGTGTTAAATACTTGTGCAAAGTCAACGAAATATTCTGGAAACCTAACGTAGAAAACTAGTTCACAGTATAACAAGTTCACCAAAAGTAACACCGCAGATTTTGAATTCACAGTTTCCTTCTCCTAGATCGTTCCAAGGCTATAGGGCCCAGTCTGTCGTGGTATTTACCCATAGCTGGGAGGGGGCGGAATAAATGTATTCATACTTTTCCTCATGTTATCAGTACATCAGTGGCTATAATGAACTTGACTGGAATTAGAATTCGCGTCCCGTATTTTATATATATATATATATATATATATATATCTAATTGTAATTGTTAGGGATTATTCCAAAGAGGACTTGTTCAAATGAGTGTTCAATATATGATACATAGTAAAAAGAATAATTAGGAAAAAACCTTAAAACCATTTAGGTAATAAATTTATTTCAAAGAATATATTTATTATAATGTAGTCGGTCTGATGAGATAAATTTACCTATATTCATCGAAATAAATTTATTACCGAATATGGATTTTTAAGTTTTTTCTTTCTTAATAATATTTTATATATATATATATATATATATGTGTGTGTGTGTGTATGTGTGTGTGTGTGTGTAATATATTTGAAATGCCGAATTCAAAGAACTAGTGTCCAACAGTGTCTTACGTTCCCCAAATGACTATGCACGAATTCAGAGCTGTCATTCTTCTAGACCTTTTGCCAACCAAACCCAATTTCTCCGGCTATATATCCCACAGGTTAGGGTGTGGATAGGTAAGATGGACTCATACCATCTCCAAGGATATTGGCCCGTAAGTGAAGAACTCTACGGAAATTCGAAGTCTGCACTCCGATTTCTCAATCCAGGCGGCTATCCATTCACCCCACCATTCATCCTAATCGTGTGTGTGTGTGTGTGTGTGTGTGTGTGTGTGTGTGTGTGTGTGTGTGTGTGTGAGAGAGAGAGAGAGAGAGAAAAGAGAGAGAGAAAAAGAGAGAGAGAAAAGAGAGAGAGAGAGAAAAGAGAGAGAGAGAGAGAAAAGAGAGAGAGAGAAAAAAGAGAGAGAAAAGAGAGAGAGAGAGAGAACTCACAAATCTGATTTTCAGAGAGAGATTTATTGTTGCAATAATGTGTAGAAAGGGAAACTATGGTGGCATAAAATAAAATGATGGATGGAAAATCGATGTTACCGTTGGAAAGTCGTAGAACTATGTCATAAAATAATGATTTCAGGCCGCGCCATTCTCGAGAAACGGAAAATAAGAAACAAAAAAAGTAAATGAAGTTAAAGAAATTGATTGGGTTATTCTGAGACCAACATTCTCTTCTTCCCAACCATGATAGAAATTACGTTGTTTTTTAAATATTGTTCACCAATTACGAAGGCCAAAGAGCTACTCAAGGTAGAGTTTTACTAAATATTATTGTTATTGTAAAGGCGGAAAAAGAAGTGGGGAAACGAGCATTATATATAGGAGAGTTGACTGTTGACCATAGACTTAAAGAGGTTAAGATTATCGTAATCGGAGGAAGCATCCTGTTGATCATCAGTTCAATAATCCAACAGTTTTGGGGAAGCAGTTCGCTGAGCAGAACTTATTCGTTACAAATGGAATACAAAGTGAATATGGATGTGTCGACTCAATGTACGTGGCATGGCGTATGCTAGCGGTGAATGTCCGGACTAGTGAAACTAAGAAGCAATGTAGCTCGTCTGGATTGGGGGGGACTAAGAAGCAAGGTAGCTCGTCTGGATTGGGGGGACTAAAGCAAGGTAGCTCGTCTGGATTGGGGGGAACTAAAGAAGCAAGGTAGCTCGTCTGGATTTGGTGGGGTGAACTAAGAAGGAATGTAGCTAGTGAAATAGAAAGTGAAGTCTTTAGGAGGAAACATATACCCAATCATAAACAGGTAAAAACGGCTGAAACCTCTACTCCTGTTCAGAAAAGACAGGGAGGAGTATGAAGTGCACCAAAATTACATCTCGGACCAACAGAGGCGCACCAAAAATACATCTCGGCCCAACAGAGGCCAAATAAATCTCAGACCAACACAAGCACACCAACAACAAAAATATCAGACCAATACAAAAGAACTAACGTATAAAATGTGAAAAGCTTTACTAGAGGTTAAAAAAAAAGTAATAAAAATAAAACATTTCAAGAAAATTCAGATTATATATATATATATATATATATAAAATCAGTTATAAGAAAAATGAAATATAAAACTTGGAGGGGAAAAAAAAAACGTTACCAGAACCGTCTACACATTATTTTTTTTCAAGTACTTTGATCAAATTTTCCTTGCTTTTGGATTTTTGTGCCTCGAAAATTTCAAAGACTTTCTAATATTGTGCCGCCTCGCGTAGAGCCATGGTCAGTGAGTTCATCTGGGAAAATCCTATTTGTAAAATCGATTTACTGTTTTTGCTTTGTGCTACATAAAACTAAATTTGCAATAATCTATCATTTTCTACGTTACGTTGATATATCACTATGACGGAGATTTTCATTTTAAATTAAAGATATGAACACAACTAAAACCTTCATGGAAATATAATCAAATAATGTACGTAAATATCTCAGTCATTGATTGCTTCTTAATTAATGTATTTCACATCTTTTTATTTTTCAGATTTACAAATGGCAGGAAGCAAGTATCAAAGGACAAACACACTAAAGAAATGTGTGTGTAATCTTCAAAATAAACTGTTTGTTGTGAGAAATTGTTTTTTTTTTATTTCTCCGATATTAAGCTGTGTGAACACAGAAATCACTGTATATTGAATGATAGTTATTCGCTTTAAGCTGTCACTAGAACACTAAAGCATAAAAAATTCTACTTACCATGCAATGTTGATTTCTATACCTACACTGTTTATGTGCATATGCCACATATGGTCCGGTGCCCCTTCTATTTCCTTTAAGAGCTTTGATAAAATCTAAAAAAGAATCAGCAATATTATCGGTCCTGATCCGGCAGCTCGGCTTCAGTCTCTTTCCCACCGCCATGAGGCTGCTTCCTTATGTTTAAATAAATATTTCGTTGAAACGATTGAAAAAAATATTGCATCCCTATTTTAATCGGTTAGTCTTCTTTCGTGTAGCCAACTGTTTTATTCATCTCGTTGTCTATCTCCAGGACTGTGAAAAATGTCAGTGAAGCAAACAAAAAAGTATTCGATCTACATTCACTAACCTACAACTATGTTACATAGTTCTAAAATTAAACTTCTCTCCATTAATCATATGAGACACCCCTCACCGCCTTCCATCAATATGGCTGATGCTAACCTCCAGGAAAGTGACAAGCTGTGC